AATATCTACCTGCTTTCGTTCAATACTATCATAACGGACAAATCGATAAAAAATTCAACATGATCTATACTGCTCATAGTGCTTTCACATATTTAACATTCCTTCTTTTTATTTAAATGCCTTGTCCTCCAAGAACATTGACGACCAGTCGCATGATCTTTTCTTTGTCCTCAGTTAATAATTAGTGTCGTAGTGCTGACTTCATACCACTGGTGTAGGTTCTTGGGCCAGGATGTTCTTTATCGTCCAGGACCACGTTTTCCTTCTATTTTCTTTGCATAATTACATCTAGTAATTCATATTTAGTATTGCTCATTACATGGACTCCAATGTTATCTTTTTTATGGTATTCAGATTCAGAACCTCTGTTTCTTTGTTTAGAAGCTGTCGCCCTGCTTCATTCCTCACTCTGTCCATCCACGATATCCTTAATATTTGGCGGTGCGTCGACATCTCGAAAGCCTCAATGATTGTCTCTCTTTACTATTTCCCCATTTATACTGATATCAGTTAGACTTCTAGCTATATTTTTGTTTTTGCTGATGACAAATCCATTTAGTTTTCTTTGTATTAATTTTCAAGCCCATTTATTACCGCTGGTAGAAGTATCCGGAAATCATCTTTTACCGTTGCTAGCAAAACTGTGTCAGTGTCTAAATGACTACTCCGTTGGTAATTATATCTTCTATTCTGTCTTCCACAACTTCTTCGAAAATCCTATCTGCATGTAGATTAAACAAATGCGGAGAGAGCACACATCCCTCAGGCATATCAAATATATAATAGACAACTCAGGCATATATATTAACATTTAAATAACATATCTTTATGAGAACCTGGATGACAAATAACGCGCCTCTTGTACCGAAACCACTCTTGAAGCCAAACTGAGATTTGCCAATGTTTTCTTCACATCTGGTATAACATTCTTTCCAGTCAACAAATCTATCACATGCTTAGGATAAAAGTAGGTGGATGTGGGTTTGTATAATGTATTTTATGAAACTTTGGAACATTTATGTTAAATTACGGCCTACACAAAAGACATATAAGCACTTACAAATCAATTGTGAAATCATATAAAATATAAAATAAAGTGCAACGCTTTAGGTGTAATATATAATTTATTATCGGAATATATTCACATAGTATTTTTTATATTATTATGCATTTATTGGAACCATTTGTGAAGAGAGTAAGAAAAACCTCAAGTGAAATAGTTTTTATTATTAATTGCATTCATCTTGGTTTAATAGATATTTTAATTATTTTATCAAAGTGTAAATATCTGTTAAATATAATTTTTTATGCAAAGTTAAAACACCCGTAAACAATAATATGCATATGATGTCGTTATGGTAATGGCAAAGAACTGTAACTGCGTAAAATAATTAAATGTTGGAAAATATATTATACAATCAAGTATACTACACTTAATAGCAAAATAAGTATAGTCCTCACAGAAGGTCAAGATCTGTGTCAAATGAAAGCTCCTAATTTTGCTAGAATCCGGCTCATGAGAAAGTCGAAAACAGCCACTTAAGTCAATAACAAAATATTAATAATAATAATAATATAATGTGTAAAACATCTCTTTTAAAATCACTAAATTGTAATATTGATTAACTGTTCGACCTTGTCACATCCATTCCATGTGAACTCCACCCTGGATATTAAAGAAACCAATCAAAATCTAATGTTCTAAGAACAAACAACAACTTAGGCAAATATATTAAAAACAACAAGAGCCAAAATAAAAAGCACTTACACAGTGGTGTGTATACAAACTTAAATGTGGCGACTGCCCAAAAACTTACATCGGTCAAACTGGTTAAAAATTTTAATAAACGAATAGCAGAACATAAAAGGACTTTCAATAATAGAAAAACAGATTCTACGTACGCACTTCACCTTAAGCTATCTTTGTTAGAATCCATGGAAAATAACAAATTAAAAAACACAGACATAATTCTGAACGACCAACTTGAGACAAACAGTTTTCCCTCCTCAACCTATTACGTTAAAGACTATAAAGTGTAAACGCATACCAAAAATAGGTCACTTGAGAAAGGCACTCTGTCGAAACAGCTGTAGTGATAATAGTTTAAAATAAATTTTGTGGAAGTTTTGAAAACAAAGTTTTCAGTGTTTTATTGTTACATAAAATGAATTTCCATCAATTGCTCTTTTTGTTATTTTACGCATTTAGGAATAAATTTTTATTCGCTCATATAATTTGAATAGTCGTATTTTATATTGACATACATATATACTTGTGTATTGGTAATTTTAACTTTGCAAACAGAAAGTGTGTTGTGCAATTAACTATCAATCACTTACTTACGTAACCCTAACAAGTTATTTACATATTTATCTAGATGTACAGGATGGATTATTAGTATATTGACTAATATTTTAAACTTATTTAGACGACATACATTGTGACAATTCGATTTTGTTCATTTGTTTATCTTTTAATCAGTAGGATGAGAAAGTCTGTTGTTTCTGCGTACACGTTCGTAGGAATATAAACGTGTACTTGAAATAACAGAATGTTGAATGTCAATTAATACTGAAACACTCATGGACTGTTGAAATCTAAAATTAATGCGATCGAAATTAAGCTGTTATATAGGGTGTTTCCAAAGTAATCTAAAATGTTATGATGATACGACATTCAGAATAGCTACAAACATCATGTGTTAAGTTTTGTCGTTATTAGTATACAAAATACTATTTGTTTCGTGATAAACATGTCCTAAGTGTAAGTGAAATTTTTGGTGAGCCCACTGACTTCCAAAATTAATAAACATTAATATGTTTATGTAATAATTATGACATAAAACTAGTAAATTTTAAATCAAACGTCAAAAATGTTCCGTTATAGTGGACGTCTAATGGATTTCCGAATCGTTCGAATTTGTCAGGAGAGTTGAAAATTATATTGCAGCCTTTTACTATGCGATTTTCAAGATCGACTAAATTGAAAATCAGGGTACTATAGACCAGCGATTACTGAAATCCAGAGGATTGTGTTCAATGTGACTTTGAGCATGGGTGTAGAGATCATAGTTCTATCCAAAGGTCTTTACAAACAATATTTAAAAACTAATTTACTACTTATGGCATCTGATGTAGCTGATTCTAAATACTTTCATGTTTGTATCTTCAGGTGGTCATTGAGGTCTGAATAGCAGCTTCATTATAAGTTTAAAAGAAACATCTTTGGAGGAGATTATATCTTTATACAAAATAAAATAAGCAAAAGGCAATGTAAAAACTAGTATAATTCACCTCTACAAATGACAGATATACGGTCTATTGAAGTGTGGCATAGAATTTGTACGTTCTGTCTGTGACGTAGAACAACTGGAGTCAAATACGGAAACTATAACTGAAATAAATGAGCGCCGACTATTTTTAAAATAAAAATAGTAAAATAAAAAATAGTTAAATAGTTAAAAAGTTAATAGATGAATAAAATCAAAGGAAATGGAAATCAATATTATTTGAAGAAAAAAACAAACATGTGACGTTTATACCCTTACAAAATATACCATTATAAAAGACCGAGAACGAAATCCTGTACACTACTTAATGTTCTTTGCTAATAATTTTTAATGGCAGTGGCGGTAGCAATAAAGCATATACATTTAGGCTAGTTTATTACAAAAATATCCAATATCCTGTATCTCAATTACGACGAAACTTATCAACGTGTTTACTACAGGCTTAAAATTTAACTGACGAATCATCCACAACAATATATCACATTACTTTTGAGACATCGTGTATCTTTAGTTGTGTTTCTAAAACTTACACCGTATGTAAATTTAAATATACAACAACAGTTTCTTAAATTAAACTAACTTAGACATGTAACAAGAAAACATTTTCAGAACCTTTTTAAACAGTTTCTTAGTAAAAAAATCTGTTATGAACTAAATACTAATAAACCAATCCTGTAAGTTTTTGTACAAGTGCAAGCAATATGTTGTAAAAAATATTATTACTTTTATAGTTACCTAAGCAATATGTTATTTTTACAATGGATATTAAACCTTTCTGTGATCTTATGCAAACAAATCAATTCTAAGAAAGTCCAAAAGTTTTGATAATAGAAAATGTCTCATTTTGATAGTCCGATATAAAAGGGTGATTTTACGTGATTATGTGTTATACATCGTTAATTTTGCAGGTGTTTTTCACCTTATTAAAAGTTAATAAAATACTAATACTATATCCTTGTATCAATACGGAGTATAAACCTCTGATTGGCTATGACCTCATGTTCGACTAGTAACAGCTCGGCGGTTTATTTTTGATATTTTATTATATTTTGTTTTTATTTTTATTTAGCCCAACAAGTGCCAGGATTCAAACATTGCAGTCATAAATTAAGAAAAACAAACTAAACAAAAAATCTAACAGCAAAATTTATCATATAAATTGCTCAACTACACAATATTCTATTCCTTTTCAACTTATTATTATATTCATATTTCTGTCTGGCATTTTTTAACACTTCTTCTCAAGCCATTTATCATCCTTTTAGTTCCTTTTTCTGCCTCACCGTCCTACTTTTCGTAACTTTTTTATCTCGTAAAGTGACCTTTATATTTTTCAATTTCATATTGCCAGCGCAGATATATTTCAGCTTTTCTTAATGTCCAGGTTTCACATTGACTGATTAGTCATTGGCTATGTGAATTAGAAGCTTGCATGTTTTTAGGGAAGAAGTCACACCACCTGTAAGATTGTGCTCCCTCGTTCTTACTTTCTGTGATAGTTTATTAGTTATTAGAGCAGCTTAGGTAATCCTATACCTTCAAATATATATATATATATATATATATATATATATATATATAATATATATATATATATATATATTTGAACAGTTTATACAGTCTCGAACTATCCGTATGAAATATTACCGTGTCCTACCTTCCTTTACCTCCAGCACACCCTCATACACCATTTTCACTTTAAATCTACGATCAAACATCCAGACCGGAATCTCTTGGCATCGCCAGCACCTGAATCACCCACTTACCTTCTTCACAAATATCGATAAGGTTAAGAAGTTTACCTTTCTTAGCACCTTTGAAGGATTTAAAAAGAAGTTCCGAATTGACTACATTAATCCAAATATCACACCCGTGCACAAGCGCAGATTTGACAAAGGATTTATACATCGTTCGTGTTTGTTTTGAGTTGATACGAAGGCAATAACAATAGGTCTTCCGCATTGCGTCAGAATTGCTATGATATTGCGAGTTCTGCTTACCACATGTGGTTTCCACGATAGTTTACTATCTATCACTACTCCCAGACGTCTGACGTCTGTACTGGGAGTACTTGACCCTCTAATATCAGCCGTTCCAACTGGAAAAGACTTCTGAAACTAAAGACCTCTGACTTCCTTGGACTGAATCTCAAGGAGAATTTCCTATTTCACTTTTCCAAAGCTGGAAGTGTGCTTTGTACCAAGTTATGCAATGTATCTGGATTCCCCTTAAGATCTCACCATGGTCTTCAGCATATACCTGAGTATAACCTCCATTTTCTCGAAGGACAAATCCATCACTATGTTACAAAGGAAGGGAGGAAGAATCTTTGAGAACATCCGTTTCAAATGGGCCTATAGACTCCCGGCACACTCAACGGTAACTCGCTTGTGCCCGATCATAAACCCTATCCACCGGACTACTGGTATTGCATTCAGCACTTCAGTGATTCCAAAAACCGTACTGATTATCATTTAGAAGATTAAAAATTTCAGGCTGCTTCTGAATGAACCTGTATGAACTTTTTCATCATTTTCGACTGAAACGAGGATATTACAGTCATCCGAAAGGATCGTATTATTTGATAAAAGTCATACACAGAGAGTAACAAATAATTTTTAAAAATATGAAATTCTTATTGTATGTAATAATAAAATCATGTATATTTAACACATTTTTAAGTAACGTCTATGTTCTTTTCTATCGATTGGCGGACTATCAATAGAGCATATTTTACCTTATTGGAGACATTTATGTGTTACACACCTTACAAATTTTTATGATTTTCAGTTTTTAAACAGAACCTATATAACTCCCACAAATATGTAACAGGAAAAGAATGCGCTTGTTTTTTGGTTATAGTTTAAAAACTGAATTCAAAAGGTTACTATTTTTACATATTCTTAACATACAATGATAATTAAAGTATTATTGTCCAAAAATGAACTATAATGAACGTGTTTTTAATTTTGTTTTTAATGGTTAAATGCTATTTTGGAAATGTAATATTGTGATATATTATGATTGTTTGTAACGGTACCTTTGCTGTTTATTAGTCCTAATAATCATCTAACTTTCTCTTTTTCTTCAATTGCTGGCGATTATCTACTGTATTTTAATTCAAATTAAGTATTCATATATTTTTCATATTCTTATTTTGAGTTTGGTTTATTTTCTTTCATTTTTTACTGTCATCATCCTCGATGTAGGTAATTTATAATTTACTGTAGCAGGTGCTCACATCGTCAATGTTACATATTATATAAAGTTTAAAAAAATATTGTTCAATAGTTCATTTTCGATACAAAATACTTAAATATTTTATTATTTTTAAAGAGCTCTTGTAAATTGTTATCTTTAGTAGAAATCATATTATTATTAGAGGAATTACTGAATCGACTAAGTAATAATATATAATTGGTAATGTTAACATTTTTATACTGTTTGTTGACTAATTTTTATCAAATACTCTTCAATCTTTGTATATATTTTATTTATTTATATGTTCTATAATAATAATTGTAATATAAAATAAAAAAGAAACTTTTGTATTTTATTGACAATTACAATTATTTCCGTAGTTTTATTAGTAAATTATAAATACATTCAACATAACTTTAAAGGATGGTTGTTGCAAATACTGACAATGACGATATATACATCATCTTGATTATCTGTTCGATTGTAACTAGATAGTCAGTCTTTATCTGAATTATACAAAAACAAGAAATTCTTCAAAAAAGTGGAAAAACAAAAAACTATCTGGAAGACTGGAAAAGTTGTACCTCCAAATGGTATTTTCGATTGATCAATTAAGAAGACCATTCACCATTTGATTATTTTTCGCGCTATTTTCCACCCGAAATATTCAAGAGTTATCTGAAAAAACAAATTCTTATTCTGTTTACAAGAATGGTAAAAGTCTCAGTACTGACGAAAATGAGATACGCCGCCTGGTTGCCCTGCACATTGTAATGGGAATTATTAATTTTCCGAAGCTAAGACTTTATTGGGCTCCCCGTACACAATTCCGTTTGATTAAAGATATCGGTATGTCCCTAAACCGATTTGAAAGTTTACGTAATCATTTACATATCTCAGATGTCAACACCGACAAGAATACCAATGATAAACTTTGGAAAGTGAGGAAAATAATTACCAGCTTTGAAAAACGTTGCGAAGAATTAATGCTTGAAGAAAATAACTGCATAGATGAGACAATTATACCATTCAAGGGGCAATTTTCTCTAAAACAGTATATTAGACGCAAACCAGATCCTTGGGGAATAAGTCTTTAATTTTTGTGGTGAATCAGGAATAATATACCGATCGGTAGTTTATCAAGGCGCAACTACATTACCTATGTCGGGATATAAGCTCTACTGTGATAATTATTTCAATTCAATGGAATTACTAAAATTACTTCACACGAGAGGAATATTTGCTGCTGGAACTATTAGACAAAATCGCATGGGAAACTGTACACTTCGTTCCGAAAAAGAACTGAAACTATCAGGAAGAGGAAGTTCAGACTCGAAAATTACTTCCGATCAAAATACTGTTGCAGTTAGATGGTTCGATAACAAGGTCGTAAATATGGCCTCAAATTTTATAGGCTTAGAGCCTACTGATACTGTCAAACGTTGGGATAAAAAACAAAAACATATGTACAAGTTGAACGTCCAGCAGTAATTAAACTTTACAATCAAAGTATGGGCGGCGTGGATAAAAATGATTTCCTTGTATCACTTTATAGAACGTTTATTAGAAGTAAGAAGTGGACTCTACGGGTAATGTTTCACTATTTCAATGTGGCAGTGTGCAACTCATGGTTGGAGTATCGTCGTGACAATCAAAATAAACCTAAAAATAAGAAAATAGATTTATTTATAGCTAAAGCTCCACTGAGAACACCGAAAAGAGGTCGTCCTTTAAATGAGTCACCTCCAAGAGAAGTTCTCCAGAGATTCCCCTGGAAGTTACTCTCTTATATATAATTTTATGTTTATTTATCCCTAATAACCTCTTGGTGGCAGTTGCCACCAATTTGTAAAATAAAACGTAGTGGGTCAAAAATTTTATAAAAAATATTTTCAGTATTATTTAGGTGTCCAATTAAAGAAAATATCAACAGAAACATTTTACCTTTGAAAAAAAATTCAGGGCTGAAAGGGTTAAAATAAAAAAAAACTGTTTATAAAAGGTCTTCAACTTCTGAGACAAAATCCAATATAAAGGATAGTATAAAATAAATAAATGATAAAATTTTTTAATGGCTATCCCCATTACAACGTTAGTAGTATACAGTGCGGTAATTGCTTGTATACTCAGTTCACTGATCCCAGTTCCAACTGCACTAAATTTAGTAATTATTCTATGACTTTAGTAGTCAGAGGCAAAAATGACACTGAACCTCTAAAAATTATACGAACAAGCTGAGGACAGTAATTATTCAAGGTAGGAAAAGGCACTTTACTCCCATGTTATATGATATATATATATATATATATATATATATATATATATATATATATATATATATATATATATATATATATATATATATATATTGTAATAGTTTTGTTTTTATTATTTTTATGTTTTATTGTTAATAAATATAATTTTAATTGAATTGAAGTGAATTTTAAAAGTATGTAGTTCGTTGTTAATATACTATACCTCGGCTAGCTCAATTATTTGTTCTAAGCAATCTGTCACTGTGTGACGTCAACTCTGTAGTCTCCTGGTAGAGTTCAAAAAGAAATTAAACCAAAATTTACTTTATATTTTTGATAAATTAACCCAAATGAAGCACGTTATTTATTAATATTGAACAAATTTAATATAAACAATAAAATTCGTCTGCAACTTGGGTTGCCTTTAAAAATTTACAAAAATAGGAATCGTGTAAACCTTAATGTGTCGTGAAAATAGAATTTGATTACAAAATGTGGAAACTCTCTACAATTACCTTAAATCTAAATGACTATTGCAACTTTATAAAGTGTTTAAATGAAATATAAAGAAAAGAAAACTGAACACTTTATGCCGCTGACTTATAACTAGCATTAAAATATAATCAAAATTTCAAATGATCCCCAAAATTATTATCCAAACTCACTTTCAAACAGTTCTGATTTTTTTTTTTTTTAAAGAAAACTAACTACTCGCAAAATAATCGGTGATACTGGAATATCTATCCTCTCTTCGGAAGTTAAAGGTACGTACTATTATATTTTTATTTTAATGATCATTAATATTTCAATTTTTAAGGCCTATCGCAATTAGTTAATTCATGAATTTTTACTTTTTCAATCTAAATGACATTTCTGCACTCCAATTATAATTTATAAGTCAAAATTTCTCTTACTCTCTGGAACAAATTCTGGATATCTCTATTTGAAAATGTGGAAAAACTAAATTATAATTAAACGATTTTAAAGCACTCCCGGACTATTCCACCTTTTTAGGGCTCTTCCTCCAAAATTTTCGTCGCCTCCAACAACCTATTCTTCCTTGTTAACCGCCATAGCTAGCACCAACCACCAAAATTATTCGTTGCTAACAGCAACCCCTTTCTTTTTTCATTCCGTCTTCTATTTTATTCAACCATAAAACTGTCCTGTTTTGACATATTTGTCAAACCACATTAATTTCTCATAAGCACTTTAATCACATCTAATTTGGGAATTTATAAAAAAAAAATTCAGATATAAAACTTAACAATACTAATATAATTTATTCTTTTCATCTCCACATCATTGTAATTTATTTAACAAAACCCCTATTAATTTAGTTCCCACAGACTTTTGACAGTTTATTTTTCTGACGTTTATTTTTGAAATTTCTATGTTTAAATAATTTTTTAAGAATTCTTCTTTTTTATTCCTTTTAAGGTTTAGACGATTCACCTATACACTAGGCAACTATACTATTCAGAAATTATTAACACTATACCAGGTAAGTCAAAATTAATTTATTTAGCAATTTACTAATCTTTTCTCCCTTTTATTTCAGAGTCGACCCCACATTGTGATGGCTTCATGAAATTCATGAACAACAAACTCATATAAAAATCCCTTTAAGTTATATCCTCTTTGACATATTGAAATCATTTCAACTTCCCCCCAATTTGGATTTTGTTCAGTGCTAACTATCAGCACTTACTAAATCTAAATTCTTACCGATAAACTTAAACATTTTATTAATATTAACATAACAATAAACTGACTTTTATTAATAAGCATATCTCTTGAATATTTTTTTTTTTAATAATTTACTCTATGAAAAATACAGACTTCTCCAAACAAAATCTACAAATCTTTCACTAATTATATCAACTTCAGAATCAAATTTCCAAGTACTTTCCCAATTTCATTACTTCTTTTCCTGTACTATTTATTTCTCGTACTAATTTCGTAGAAATTCTTATAATTGTTCCCCTCTTTATTTTATATCTTTATTCATTTATTTCCGCATATACTATTTCAGTATCTTTATTCATTGCCGCATTATTATTTATTCTTTTTGTATCCGCATATAATATCCATTTCATCATCTCTACATATAACTCTCTATATTTCATATTTCAATATTTCCTATAATTCTATTTTTCATCTTATTTCCCACATATTTTCACATATACTATTTATCATTATAATATTCCCTATTTCCCAATTTCTACAAAATATCGATTTGTCCATAGTACTTTGCTCATTTATTTATACTTGTAACTCCTATAAATTTACTTGAAAATAAATCAACCTCTTTTTTTTTATATAAATTCATCATTATTCTGTACATCTGTTCCCAATAAATTATTTGAGTCATGTTATTATCAAATTTATCTCAAGATATGCTTATGTATTAATTATCCTTCTATTTACAAAACTTATATCTAATAATATAAAATTCGTGTCATAATATTGCATTATTTAAATTATTTACAATGTTTTTGTTGATTAGAGTTACTTCTGAACCTGTATCTATAATAATAACTTGTATACTGAATCTTGTATGTACCCTTCAATAAACTTTAAAGTATTAGTGTTATTGTTTTTATTTAATTCCCCAGTATCTCTAATAAACTCCCTTGGATGTTCATACTTTGATAAGTAGACAATATTATGCACATAGGAGCGGTCTAAGCAAAATTTCTCCCTTCTGCATCAACACTTGCTTCCCCCCTATTCTCCTCTGTTCTAACTACATTCACCTGTCTTCTCTCCTCATTTTCCCCCCTATTATATCTTGGATTCCCTTCTCTGTAAACTTCCCTATTTCTCGTCTCCTGTGGATAATTTCCCTGGTTCTGTCTCCAATTATTGCCTCTGTCATTCCCTTGTCTCCAGTTATTCTCTCTATCATTGTTTGGATTCCCTTGTCTACGTTCCCAGTT